TGTCCATTTAGAGACTATAACAAAGCAGTCGAGAATTTGAAACGTTTAGTCATTTATGTTGACTCTGCCCCAGAATGTTATGTCATGAAAGAATGGGATGTTGTCTTTAACAAACCAAGAGCAACAATAGTGTCTGAACAAGAATGTAGACAGAAACTTAAGAAAATAAAAGTTGTACAAGTTGGAATGAAGATGTTAGATGCTTGGGATATCTTATTGTCAAAGTTAGAAGATTTTTCAGTTCGAGGTATAAAGTTCTATACACCTTCTCCAAACTTCTATTCTATCTTCACTGGATATAAATACGAACAAGTAGAATGGAAAGAAAATATTATAGAAGCTTGGTTAGACCATGTCAAAGAAATTATATGCAATGGAAACGAAAGAGTCTATGAGTATATCTTATGTTGGTTTGCAAATATCTTACAACATCCAAGTGCTAAAAATGAAACTGCTCTCATTATAATTGGAAAACAAGGAACAGGTAAGAACACATTCTTTACAGATATCTTATGCAAACTATTAGAAGGTTATTCGAACCCTAATATGACAAACTTAGAAAACATCTGCGGTAAATTTAACTCTTCAATTGAGAATATGAAACTTATAGTTTGCAATGAACTTCAAAGTATAGATACAACAAAAGTTTTGAACTCAGATGCTTTGAAGAGTCTTATAACAGACAAAGTTGGAGTTGTTGAAAGAAAGTATAAAGACCAAAGAGTTTGTGAAAATGTTGCAAACTTCATTATGGTTTCAAACAATGCTGTTCCGATGAAGTTAGAAAGTTCTGACAGAAGATATGTAGTTGTCAGAACGTCAGATTCTCATATGCAAGATACAGAATATTTTGACGACTTAGCAGAAACTTTGACATCTGACTTTTACAACCACTTGTTCTCATATTTCATGACATTAGATATTTCTAAGTTCAATCCAAGACAAATTCCACATACCGAAGAGAGACAAACATTGTTAGAAGCAAACAAGAGTGTATATGAACTGTTCATAGAAGAAAGCGACTTTGAGTGTTTAGATGAAAAGTCTTTATATGATGAATATAAACAATATTGTCAAGAATATGGTTATATGGCAGCTTCTAAACGTACATTCTTGGCAAATGTCAAAAGTCTTTTAGACGTACAGAATGGTGTATATACAAAGAAAAATTTTTCTGAGTAAATTTTAAAAAAAATATTTTTTTATCCGATAGAAAAGATGACGAAATTCATCTCGGTAAACAAGTACATGTCAGGACTTAAAGAAGAACTAGACCCATTCACATATTTGAATGTTTACTTCTACCATTTTGAAAAGTCTTCATTCAGCAAAGTTTGGAACATCGAACCAGTTAAGTTTGCTATTGTGACTAAAAATGGTGCGAAATTTGAAGACTTAGACATAGAAGGTTTGTTAACAGTCAAAGAAAGTTTTGACAGAAGGTTCTCAAACCTTAAAGAAGGCAAAGCATACAAACTTGTTATACCTTATGAACCAAAGAAGACAGACGACTATGAATATTATGAGTCTAAAGTTGTAGAAGTTCAAGGTAAATTGGGTAAAAAGATTTTAGAGTCTAAGCCAGTGTTTGCTCCTAAAGAGGAAGAGAACATTGACATTGACCCAGAAATGTTCTAAAAATAAAATTTTATTTTTACATGTCAAATTTCTTTTTCTCTGGAACTGGTTCAGGTTCTTTCTTCTCTTCTACTTTTTTCTCTTTCTTTTCTTTCTTCTTCTTCTCTGGTGAAGTTATGTCAAATTTCTCAGAACCATATTTCTGTAAAAGTTCTTTGTCCTTTAATAGCTCATCTATTCTGTTTTCTATTTCATCTTCAAGAACAGCGCATGTGTCTTCTTTGCATTCTAAGAACTTTTGTTGGACTTCATCTTTCCAATCGGCGTCATCTCTGTCAACAAGTCTGTCATTGACAAATTTTAAGACTGCTCTTTGTAATGTTTTATGGTTCTTGTCATATTCCCAGAAACAGAACTTTAGAACAAATTCACCTTTCTTGTTTACACTATGTAAGATTTTATGGTCGACAGATGTTTTGCTGTCAAAAAGTTTGTCTCGAATATAGATAGCGAAATCGCTAGACATTTTCTAAAAGATAAAAATTTTAATTTTTCTAAAAATATGTTAGAAAAAAAGTTTGCTGACATTGACAAGAAATTTGAGAATGTTTTAGACAAGAACAAGAGGAAGTTAGAAAATGCTCAGATAAAGCCTATACATGAAAAGTTCTTATTTGCTCAGAATGGTATAACAGGTCTAATTGCACCACCTGGGTCGGGTAAGACTTTCACTTATCTTAAAATGGCTGCACAACAACAAGAACTAGATGAGAAGAACCCATTCTATGAGTTAGTTGTTATTTGTTCGACTTCTGGTCAATTTGACCAAACCGTCAATTCGTTCAAAGATATTATAAAGAAGTCTAAGTTAGTATGTATAAAGGATACTGAGTTGTTAGATTGGATAAAGAAGTACCAAAGAAGAGTTTTGAAGTATAATGCTATAAATGAGTATATAAATTCTAAGTTCAAAGACCCTAATGAGGAAATGCAGAGAATATTAGAGAAGAAACACTTCAGAAACAAACAGAAAGAGATAGAATACATTTCGAAGAAATTGCAATCTTACGATTGGAAGACTTACCCTCATAGATGTCTTCTTATCTTAGATGATTTCGCCTCTCATCCTTTGTTAAAGAATAGAGAACAAGATATGTGTCGAATTCTTAAGAAGCTCAGACACTTTAACATCTCAGTTGTCATTTGTGTACAGACAGCAAAGAGTTTAAGTAAGGATGTTAAAAGAATACTTACTGACATAATACTTTTCCCCGGATTGTCCGAAGACGATTTCATGGAACTTATGAAAGAGTCCATGGCAGGTAAGTTTGACAGACATGAACTATGGGAGAAGTACAAAGTCATACAAGACCCTCATACTTCTTTCAGAATTCATATCTACGCAAACAAAGTTCAAATTGTAAAAAGTCAAGCTTGAAAAATCTAAGTGTTTAGTCTTAGTAAGATGGTAGCTTCTTAAAGCATATGCCGTCCTTGAGTTTTATGTACGTGAAGAGAAGTACAATGAATTCAATTACGAGTACAATTGCAATGACAACTAAGGCAACTATTTTTGTCTTTTGCCAGCAAGGGTACTTCTTCTCTTCCAATGGTTCGGCAGAACTATACTCACTCATGAGAAATGCCAAAACGGTTTAATAGAAAAAGTGTCATTTTTTTCATGTCCGAAGACTCGAAGGTGCAACACTTCCAAAATACCGACGAACTCAGAAGAGCAGCATGGCAGTATCTTCTTGACAACTTCTTTGAGTTCTCCAGGTACACCTTGGAAAATGCTGAAGAACTCCGACACAGAGAATTTGGAGAAATTGCACTCCAATACTACCTTGACAAACAAAGGGTAAATTAAGACTAAAAACTTAACGTTTAAAAAGTGACATTTTTATGAGCTCCGAGTCACCGAGAAAACTTGGTCAGATGTTAGCAGCTTACTTCCCTGAGGAGGATGGAAGCGTTACATACATCAGGTTCAAAAACAACGAACCTGGAATTGCGTACCAAATTCGCAATTACATGACCATGGAAGAGTACGAAAGGTTTCTACAAGAGAAACCAGCTCTAAACAACTCAGAAAAGAAAGAGTAAAAAGTTTAATTCGTAATTGTTTATTTTTTTACTTGTAGGGCAAGCTGCAAGAATGAAGTCGACTATCTCAGTCTTTGTCTTGACCAGTTGGACTGCTCTTGTAAGCACGTCTGTTTTGCGGTCTCCAGCTGGTGTCTGACCTTCGTAATTGCGCATGTTCTTGAGAGCTCCAACTGTAAATGGTTGTAGGATGAAGAGTCTCTCAGACTGCTTGAGGTAGTCTTCACGGTCACGAACCGAATCTGTGGTACGAGTCGAATCGGTCGATTTGAGGGAAGAGAGTGAGAGCCTGTCTTCTTCCATTGGGCAGTAGCATACTCTTTGCGTAAGCGGTTCAGACCTTCCTCGAACTCTTGGTCTCTCTTGGATTGAGATTGGAATTGTGGGGCAGGGTTTTGCATAAACATCCAAGGGTTGGGGCAGTAAGGCATAGGCTGAGGAGGGTAGTTCGGGAAGCCTTGTGGTGGGTAGTAACCTTGAGGTGGAAATTGGTAGTAATTCGGAGGTCCTTGTTGGAACTGAGGTGCAGGGGCTGGTGCTTTAGGTTCCTCTGGTTTGGGAATGGACTCGGTTGGTGGTACGTCGGACATTGTCTTGAAACAGTACAAATATTGTTCTGAAGCAGTGCAAGTCTTGTTCTGAAAAAGTACAAGTATTGTTCTGAAGCAGTGCAAGTATTGTTTTGAAAAAGTACAAGTATTGTTCTGAAACAGAAAATTTTTCTCACAAATTGAGAGCTTTTACGGGAAATTTGTTCTGAAAAAGTTCAAGTCTTGTTCTGAAAAAGTACAAGTATTGTTCTGAAACAGTACAAGTATTGTTCTGAAAAAGTACAAGACTAGTTCTGAAACAGTACAAGACTAGTTCTGAAACAGTACAAGGATTGTTCTGAAAAAGTACAAGACTAGTTCTGAAACAGAACAATGGACAACATCGAGCCATTAGATGAGGCAATTTACCTTATAGAGATAAATGAAGTTGTTAAGCAGTACTTGGGCAAGGACAAAGCCAACAAGTCCCTCGGCTTCTGGTTGTCTGGAAGAGGTGCGCTGAAAATCGAAATTGAAACCGGAATTGTCCTACAAATACCAGAAAACACTCCTGTAGACGACATAAAGGAGATGAAGAAAGAAGCTCTTCTCAAGTTCTTTGCAAAGCGCCCATGGATACAACTTCCAAACAGAGAGAGTCCAATTCCACGAATTATACAAATTCTCAGAGCACTGTTCCACTTCTCAGGACGGCCGTTCTTCATAACCTCAGAAGGCGACATCCAACCAATTCAGTAAACCTTAACGTTTAACTTCACTTTTTTTATGTTTTTACTCACACTCGTACTCACCTGGTATGAGTACAATTGTTTCAACTGTGAACCTTATGTAGAAGGAATGGATTGCGACTATCGCTTCGGTCGATGGATAATACGTGCTGGTTTTACAGACACTGGAAACTGTACTTCTGACAGATGTTGTTGCGACTGTCAGATAACTGAAATTACAGACCCACCTCCCCCAAGAACTCCAACACCAACACTCAAGTTACCAGAGTCTCATGTGAAGAAGAAGCCTTCTGGTAAGTTTCTTATAGCCATCTATATGGCACGTTTAGAGTAAAAACATTTTTTTCATTTTTTGAATGAAGCAAGTTAAATTCGTCCCACACCAAACTCAATGGACCGATGAAGAGTTTCAAGCTATGGTTGAAGGTGTTGAGAACGACATAGACGGCGAACTTGAAGGAGCTCAAACCACAATTGCAACCAAAATTGCACAAGTCAAAGAAGAGATAGCTCCACTTAAAGCTACCAAAGCTACTCTTGACCTCATGGATACTTACCGTTTAGATGTCAAGAGAGGAATAAGACAATTAAAATTAAAACTCTTAAATTACGAAGCTATACTCCAGAAGTTAGCAGAAATGAGAAGACTTTACCAGAGCTACTTACATGTAAGGGACTTACCTTCAAGCAGTCCGACCAAAGATGAATTTTCTGACATTGTCCCAATTTTGTCCGAAAGTCAGCTCAGATGTTTTGAACTGCTCCCAACATATCCAGAATATGAACGTTTGCCTGAACTCTTCCGCAATCTCAAAAAACGTTTTTTGGTTCTCATGTTCGAAACTTTTATCGGAAGAGACAACAAACGTTCAGAAGAAGAACAAGATATTATTTTAAACTTGTTGTATGACATAACTGTCATAACAAGCTTTTTGAAGTAAAACCGCCATTCTCAAACCACTTCATTTTTTCGATGTCCGAACAAGCACCGAAGCCGAACACAATGGCAGATGTCCTTTCAAGGTTGCCAGACAAGCGCCCAATTCAAATTCAAATTGCCCAATTGAAAGCTCATCTGACAAACACCATTAAGACTCTCCAAAGTAGTCTTATGACAGAGATGACCAATCTCAAAGCCGATGTCCTCATGAACCAAGCTTCCAATGAGAAATGCCTGAACGATTTCTCAGAATCGTTGCGCAATTACGAGAGAGAGAACCGAGACCTTGCCAGACTCATCTACCGTTTCTTCGAAGAGATAGACGCCATCTGGAAGGTACTCGGAAAGGACAGAACATGCAACACCGTACTTCGTGAGTACCAAATTGAAGAAGGAATTGTCGAAGAAGAAGAGGAAGAAGAGAAACACGAAGAAGTTCCTGAAGCCGCTACATGGGCAACCCTTGTTGCCGATGACGGTTACGAAATTTCCCAACCCTACCCATACCAAATCCGCAACAAGGAGACAGGCAAGGTTCTTACCCCAGTCCTCAACAACTTGGGACACTTGAACCTTAACCTTCGGAATCGCGGTTCAATCTCCATGGGCAAGCTTGTCGCAATTCAATGGGTTCCAAATCCAGACAAGAAGACGAAGGTCAGACACATTGACGGTGACAAGCTCAACAACCGTAAGGAGAACCTCGAGTGGTTCTAAGAGTAAAAAAAATTATTTTAGGGGGAAACCCCAAGTAAATTTAAGTTTTTATTTTTGGTATTCGTACCAATCTTGGAATGTGAAGACCACATCCCAACCTCTGTACGTGAGTCTTGGGTCCACGTCTAAGACCCTTCTGTAGCAATTCCAAGCCCGAGCAAATTCAATTGTCAACCACTCGTCTCCTCTGTAGTCTTCAATCCATTCTTTGAAGAGACGGTCGAGTTCGGGCTTGGAATATCTCTTGCCTGGGTCCGAGACCAACATTTGGTTGAACTGGACGAAGCGCTCAGGGATGTACGCCATTAAAAAAATGTCACTTTTTAAAAAATAAATTTTTTATTTCATGCAATGTTTAACTATTTCACCATCTTCTTTAACACCCCAGTACTTACGCTTGGAGAGGACATGAACTTCGGTGAAAATTTTGTCCAATTTGAATTGACCCATCTTTTCACCGACCATTCCCATTTCAATGAGTTTGTTGTATCCTTCTTCGTTCGTCATGAGTGCGTCAATGTTCTCATAGTAAACCTTGACTTTGGATTTGACTTCGGAGAAGAATTTGTTGTACTCGTCAAGGACTGCTTTTGCGAACTGAGGGTAAGACCAATGTTCGACAATAGGTTTTAATGTGGTTACTAAGCCACTTTGACCTTGAGTGAATTCGTACTTCAAAACAAAAGGAGAAAACCTTTCAACAAAGTTGTCGACCTTCTCATAATGTTTACTCTTCATCTCTTGAGGTTTCTTAATGGAATATCCCCATGTCGAATTCATAAGCAATTTGAGTGTCATTGCAAGTTTGGGGTTTGAAGCTTTCCTAATATCATACAGTTGTTGTATGACTTTTCCAACTGTATAGTTCCTTCCCGGGAACTCACCATCTTCGTTTGGAATTCCAGTCGGAATATATTGGACAAACCTCATGTATGCAGCGTTAAGGTCGACATAGTATATCTTTTCATCTGAGTCGAACTTGTCGCAACCAATTGGTCCAGTTTGTGGAAATTCAAGTGAGTCTCTTATCTTCTGAGAAACTTCTCCTGTTATCTCATAAACATCGTCGAAGCAACCTGTTTCATATAAAACCTTCTGACCTAACTCAGATGCTCTCCAATACAATTTGACGTCAATTGGATGTCTCAATGGAAGTTTGTTTATAGCATCTTGAAGTTCTTGCAACCTCATTGGAAGTTCTTCTGGTTCAGGTTGGTATCCGAACATACCCCCTTGTGGAACTGTGTACTTCTTTTGTACTAGAACTTTGTCTGGAACAACTTTTGGTCTTGCTAACAATGAAAAGTTTGTTTCGTCTTTTGGTACAAAAGTTTCTGTCAGCTTGTCATCTGGAATTGGTTCCAACAAACCTTTCTCGAAAAGAATGTTTACAGCTCTGACAATGTTGCACTTACTTTTACCAAAGAATGGGTTTGTAAGACTTTCGTTCAACATGAAGTGGTTGTGGACAATCTTCAACCATGGTAAGTCTTTGTCAACAACATAGTCGTCATGTGAAGAACCTTTAGCTGTAGGTATGTTGACTCGGATATTGACATTTGCCAACGGTGCAATTTTTGCCAATTGACCTCTGAGAATGTACCTTGTCTTCACACATGACTCAAGATACTTCATCTTCTCATCTGTAACAAGACCAGAGTTCCTGAGACATGTAAGAATACAAGGTTCATTGACAATTGTTTCAATTGAATTGTAAATTCCATACCTTGTCAAGTCAATGTCAGACTTATTTATGAAGGGGAAGTATCCAGCATGTTGTCTGACTGCTTGAGGGTTAGGTTGGTACCATTCGAACTTGACACTTGCAATTCCTTCAATTGCATTCAAAATGTCTGAGTCGGAGTCAACCATTTGTTCTCTCTTTGTAGTCTTGAAAGCGTCAAGAAGTTTTGCGGCTGTTTGTTCATTGCCATGTGCATAGTAAATGTGACCATCCAAATCTGTTATGGTCAATCTGAGATTGTGTCCTTTCTTATTTCCGTCTTGAATTGCAGCAAGTACTCCCATGAAGCCTTCTTTGTTCTTTCCTTCGTCAAAGTTTACTGTAAAGGTTCGACCAGATGTAATTTGACTTCTAACTTCACGATACTTTTCATATGCATATCTTGTTCTTTCCATGGGAGCATGTGCGTCTTCACCTTTTCCTTTTTTCCTTCTCAAAGGATGCAATTGTTCGTCATGTTTCCAGTAGAATCTGGCAAAGCCGTCGTGTCCTTCAACTTGAGGTTCACTAACATCGAAAGGCATGTCCATAAGACGTTCTTCTTCTAACCTCTCTAGTCTGTTTGGATAATTGGCACGTGCTGTTTCCAAATCCATTTCGTAGCGAAGACCAGACAATTTGTCATAGACTTTTATGGGTCTTCCCTTCCTATATTTAAAATTCTTCGAAACTCTCCAACCATATCTTTGTAACTCTGCTTTTATTCTAGCAGACTTTCTATCCATTCTATATGGGGGCATTTTTATAAAAATAAAAAAATATTTTTTTCTTTACTTTACATAACCGCCTGCTGCCATAAGTCTTTGACGCCAACCCATACCAGCTAATGAAGGTTGACTTGGTTTAGTTTGGAAACTAAACTTTGGTTTTGGTTTATCTTCAGTTTTTGGTTTTTCTTCTTCTATCGGTTTTTCGTCACTTTTCGGTTCCTCTGACTTTACTTCACTTGCAGGAACAGTTGTGTCGTCAACATCTTCATAAATATCATATGCCATTTGTTTTTGTTTTCCTTTCAACTTTTTGTGTTTGTTGTAAAGTTTAGAATATTTCGACTCTAAGTCAATGAGATGTTCTATAATGAACTGTTGGTCAGTGAAGTAAACTTTTCCATCTGTTGTCTCGAAAGCTCCTTCAGACTTCAATATTTTATTTGTGAGAGTCTGTTTCTTTTTTGAGATACTAGCCGTTCCATTTCTATGAAAAGTGACTTTATAGTTAGGGTTTGTATTTCCAGACCTGGCACTTTCTATTATTGAATTTTTCTCTTCATCTGTAAGTTCTTTGACAGGTTTTGACAATGGTTCTGAACTTTTTGTTTGTGGTGTCAAATCTACCGTTTCAACTTCTTCGGTCATTTCATCTCAGTAAAAAATTTTAGTTTGGTTTGTTTTCAACTGGTTGTTGTTGTGGAGGTGGGATGGTTCCTTTAATAATATCATTCAGTTTCACATGCTGAGCCTGACTATATGGTATCGGTTTAAATGCTGGAAGCCGACAAATCCATCTTGAACTCATTTGTCTCAATGCTGCATTGTTCATTTCATCTATTAAAAAACTTACATTCCCCACGTTTGAGGCGGTTGAGGTTGGTTATTGTTTACCCACTGTTGTGCATGGTTATATCCTCTGTTAAAGAATCTTTCACCTTGGTCCATATAGTGTCCTGCTTGGTTATAGTAGTCATTTGCTTTGTTATAATAGTTTCCTGCTTGTCTTCCTACATTGTCCATCCATCCTTGAACTTTTCCTCTTGTTTCAGGATTTGGAATAAGATTTGTTGCATCTCGTGCTACATCCCAACCTTTCTGTACAGTTTGTATAATAGGTTGTGCTTTCTCTTTAAGTATACCTAATGTACTCAAAATCTTCCTTCCAACTCCAAATGCACCTCTGGCTATTGTTCCCACTGCGGGTAAAAATCTGGATGCAACTCCTGCTAATGCGCCAAATAAACCCATTTCTTATAGGGTAAAAAATGACGAATCCAAACAAGGACCCCTATGTTTCTAAAGCGACAAAGAAAGCACTTATGATAAAAATCTTTAGTTCAACACCAAATGCTTGGTTTATGGATATCTTGGAAAACATTCCGAGAGTTAGAACAGATGGACCTCCATACTGGTTAATATTTGTTGGTCAAAACACAAGATACTGTGAAGCCATACCATTATGGTCCAAAAATATTTTAGATGTGAAAACTGCTTTGACAATATTCGTTGACAAATACCATCCAACAAAACTGACATCTGACTGTGAAAGTTCTTTCAAATCAGATGATGTAAAAAACTATCTGCGTTCAAAAAATGTAAACCAATATTTCATTGTCGACCAAAACCATTCTGCTCTTGGTGTCATTGACGGTTGTATAAAAATGTTAAGAGACTTAAACCAACCACAAGGTGGTGAAGCAAATGAAATGTCATATGACGACAAGTATAGACACTTCTCCATGGCAAAGATGAGACAAGTTTTAAATATTTACAATAACCGTAAACAAAAAGGTTTGGGAAACCACTCCCCCGAAGAAATGAAAAACAACCCTGACTTAGAGAAAGACTATATATTTAATAATTTAGTCAAAAGAGACAAACAAGAAAGAATGCCGGGCTTCAAACTTCAGAAAGGTGACAAAGTAAAAATAGAAATACCTAAACGCGACCCATATGAAAATACTATTGACTATGACAACAATGGGAACCCGACAGGTACTCACATTCGTGTTCGTAAAAATAGAAGAAAGTATACAAGAGAATATTATGAAGTTTTAGGCAAACATGGCAAAATGTACACACTGCAAGCAGAAGATAAAACTACTATTGTCAGACCTCGTTTCAAACTTGTCAAAGTTCAAGGTGGTATACTTTCAAAGACAGTTCCAACAAAATAAGACAACTCCTGACGAATATGCTAAAGAAGTTGAAAATGACGACTAAGCAATTCTATACCATGCGTAAACTGTCATGTAAGGTGGCATGTATTCTTTACTTTGTCCCGTTGTTTGCGTATATCCTGAAACGAAATGTGTATGGTTTCCTTCTCCCTGAGTGTCATCCAGTAACAATTTATAGCAAACTTAACGTCGTCTTTAACATCATATCCTTTACCTTTTGTCATTCCTGACCAATCCCAATATCTATGCTTATGCCAACCTGCTTGAGATGTACTTAAATCTATGTAATGACTGTGTGCAGGTAAATTTTCACCTGAAATCGTTTTACTTCCACCTGTTTCCTTTGAAGAGTTTGCACAATACAAAAACCTGTCGACTATTTGTTCCCATGCACCAACACCAAACATTACTTGAGGACCTCTTGCATCCATAGATGTATAAATAGAACCTACTGGGTTCATTAAATCAAACATATGAGATATTATAGGATTGTCTCTTTTGAACTTAAAATATAGTGCAACTATTTCAGGTTTCTTCTGGTTTGTGTCAGAATATTTTTTATAATATAATCTTATGTTTTCAGGGTAGGTAAAATCTTGACTATAATATTTATTTCTGTCATCTGTATAATAATATACTATTCTCGTTTTTTCTATTGCATTATATCTTTTATATCTATAATAATCTCAATATAATGTTAGCTTTTGTTCATCTACATGTGGTGTTCTGTCGTCATCTCCATAGTCATAATAATGTGGTGCCGGAGCTGGGTCAGGTAATATCATATCCACCATTTCATAAACTCTTAAATATTTCTTTTGTTCGTCTCCATATAAGTTTAAGTAGCAGTTGTTGTCTAATGGAACTTTAACTTGTGTACCATCATTCTTTTTTATAGCTTACATACATTTCATTGTTTTTTTCGGAATGAGTTTATACCGTGTACCATTTTTTAAGGACTGTACACTGCCATCTAAAATATTTATTTTCTTCATTGACAGAAAAGTCACCAACAATAGTTTCAATATTTTTTGTTCCTATCAAACTTTGGTATATTTCATTGACATATGTTTTATCTGCTTTATTTTCAAGGCTAACGTTTAAGTCTGTTATTTCAGAAGAATGTGTATGTCCAACGGCACTTTTCCTGTTTAAGGTTTCTTGTAAGTTTGTAATATTTGCAATAGTATGTGTATGTCCAACGTCACTTTTCCTGTTTAAGGTTTCTTGTAAGTTTGTAATATTTGCAATGGTATGTGTATGTCCAACGTCACTTTTCCTGTTTAAGGTTTCTTGTAAGTTTGTAATATCAGATATAGAATGTGTATGAGTCTTATCTGCTTTTGTCTCTAATGTTTCCTTAAGACTTGGATTTGGTTAATATAATGTATATGAGTCTTTTTAGAATATTCGTTTTCAGCTCTTGTCACTTCACTTGACATTTTATTGTTAACATATGTTTTGTCTGCTAGTTCAGGATGAGTATGTTCTTTTGTTGCATAAGCATTGTTAGCTCTTTCTTCTTCTTTTGCTATTGCATCGTCTACATATTTTTGTCAGCTTTGTTGTCAAACATCTGCTTTCAAAAGAAGTTCATTTATAGGTTTCTCGTTTAAAGTTCCTTTTGTTGGATTTATACAGACAGTATTGTTCTTATTGTCTTGAAATAGAAACTCATCTGTCATTGGGTTTATTGTCAGTTTTAAGTCACCCCTTTCAATGACTCAGATATCTTAGAATAGTTTGAAAAGTTTGTTGTGTTCTTATTTAGAGCTTGCATAATGAGTTGTCGGTTGTGTTGTATTTCTCTCATAGACGCTGTTTCATTTGACATTTTTATTATAGATAAAATATGCTTCCAGTAGAAAAAGAAAATTCTAGAGTTGCTACAACTAAACCATTAGATGAACTTTTACTAATGTCGGTCAAAAGTTTGAGACAGATACCGTAAAGCATGAAGGCTATCGTTTTGACTACCCATTAAGATGGTTAAGAGACCCATCCGTCACAAAAGCTATTGGCTTTCGTAGAATGAAGTTCATTTCAGAAGCCATACATGGTTTCTCATTTACGGTCGGTTTTGAAGTTCGATACTATAACAAAGAAAAACGTATGTATGAGAAATTGAACAAGGAAAACTTTTACAAGTTAATTTGCTTATAAACTTAGAACAACTCTTCAAGCTTTTCAAGAAAAAATAAACGATATCTATATTGAATATGCAAACCAGTTTAACATTGACGAAGGAGAATACCATCTCGATATTATTTATGACAGGAAAAATGCAACTGTTAAAATCAAAAAATAGAAGACCTTGGAGAAACGTTTATATTTTCTACAAAATATAACAACTTGGCATGGTATAGATTTATGAGGATGTTAAATCAGCCTGCAGCATATCCAGTACACCGGACTATTATGAAGTCGAAAACCTAATGGAACATATGAAAATATTTTCGACCCAGATGCTATTATTGTTCATGCTTCATTTTCTTGTGCGCAAACTCTTTCTTATGTCTGATGAATGACTTTTACGAAAAATCTACAAAGTTATATGAACCGCCGAGTGAAGTATTTCAGACTTTCAAGTATGGTTTACTACAGATGGAAGAAAAAAGAATAATTCCATTATACCATGCGTTTTACTTAGAACTTAGTTTCATATACAACTACTATCGAACGATAAAATATAATTTTTTAATACGGTTGAGGTGTTGGATTTGGTTGCCAACTAGACTGTGGTGCAGGTTCAGGCTGTTGTATAACAGGAGCTTGTTCTTCTGGTTCAGGGTCTTTAGGTATAATACCAACGAACTGACCTACTCTTTTACCAATATTTTTGACACCGTTCCATACTCCTCTTCCGACAGATTTTATTCCATTCCATATAACTCTTCCAACATTTCGAAAGAAGTTTCCTATCTTACTGAAGAAACCCATTTTACTATATGTAAAAATCTAATGTCCGCCTAGTCTCTTACGTTTCCTGTTGAGTTCCATAGCATTCTTTAACTGGAGCTCATACATTCTGTTTCTCCTCTGGTAGAAAACATATTCTGGGTCAACTCCTGTGTTCGCGTCATCTGCATAAAGTTGTTTATATCCCACTTCAGGGTTTGTATAAAACTCTTTCCATCTCATATTTGCATACCATGGTGGCAAACCTAACGCAGTGTCATTTGACATGGCAGTTTGCATTTGTACATCTGTTGGCACTTGACCATAGTTTGCCATTGCAGTTTGTATTCTAACTTCATTTGGAATATTCTCTGGGTTTGGTTGTCCAGGTTGCTGTGCATTCGCTAAGTTCTGTGCGTCCATTTAATATTAGATAAAAATATCTCTTACGAGTACATATACTGAACATTTGCAGGCATTGGTTCATCTTCATATTCTCTGTACTTTTCTGCCACGTCAAATAAATAAATGACACAATGGAAAAAACCTAAAACAAGTAGTCCTATTTCAAAACCACATTTACTTACTAATAAAATTTCTTTATTGTGACACTTTCTCCAGTTTATAGGACCTCTCTCATATTCTATCTTGTCATATATAAACTCATAGTCATGTATGTCCTCTAACCATCTCATAACGGTTTCCAAACCACTTTTATCGGATGTAAAGTAAAAGCATGGATGGTTATGTATAACGTCTAAAGTTTCTAAAGAGTCTCTCAAAGTCCAGTCTACTTGGTATTGAAAATCCCATGTGTTATAGAACGGCGGGTCCACTATAAGAAAACATTTCCTTGTCTTTATATTTTTCATACAACTCTGTCCAATGACATCTCACAAACTCTATACCCTCAATATATTTTTCTATGTTCTCTTTGAAAACATTTGTATAGTTAAGATATAAAACTTTTGACATAAGTGTTTCAATGTCATGAACTCTTATAGCACCACTATATAATAGTCTAGCAGATATACTATCCCAGTCTATATATTCTGCTTTTTTCAAAACCTCTCTCACAATATTTTTCTTATCTAATGGTATACGTTCCATCTCACCTATAGGTATCTTTTCTTTTAACTCTTTCAATATATTGTTTGTGTCTGGAATATGTTTGAGACGGTCCATATAGTTGTCGAAGTCATTGCATATAATCTTTGAGTCAGGAAATACGGTATGACATAAATGGGATATATAGAAACTTCCACCGAACAAATCTACAAATGTTAGACCATTCGGTAGTTTCTTAAGTTCTCTCAATATAATATCTTTACATCTACTCTTATTTCCAAAGAACGGTAACGGCGGTTTTGTAAAATTCATTTATATATAATAATAAAAATTTTTTACCCGAAAAGTGACAGACAAGTGACAAAACATGAAAACATATATAATTTGTGAAAAGTGACATTTAAAAAGTGACACCATTAATATGATGTAAATAACAACGGTTTTGGTTTTGTCACCGGCTGGTCGGCTGGGGTTCGGTCCTCCTCTTGGGTCTTGGGCAAAATTTCTTATGGGCTAGAGGGCGCAACGCGCCTGGAAGCCCCACTCACCTGACCTAAAGCATCATTCTCATTTATCGTATTCGATAAAAAGAAGTTTTGTGTTGTTTAATCAGTATTACAGAGAAATATGCCAAAGTTGAAATCTTATTTGATCTCAATATTGACTTGAGATTTACAAAATCACAATTTCATTGAGAAAAATTGTTCATCCTATCTTAGTATACGATGTTTTTCAATAATTAATTTTGTTAATTCTATTTATACAATACCTTCATTAAAACCGCAT